CACAATTAAAAAAAATTAAATTTGTTCAATCACTCAAATGGTAGAAGTTAAATAAAACCCAAAAAAGATAAATGATGTCATTTGAACCTAATCCAAACAAGTACAAGAAATAATTGAAATAAGAAATCAAAATTGAAATACAAGTGATAACAATTGTAGTCTAAATCAACACTTTGTGCATAAAGTGGAAAAAAAGCCAAAATACCGTTCACTCAATTCTAAAATATTTGATTACCACTCATGATGTCTACAAAGATTAGTTTCTTTGATATTTATAGTCAAAAAAATTAATGATAAGTTACAACACAATAACTACAATTATAACTTTCACAATAACTACTCTAATTATAGACATGTAATTATTATGTAACTTCTTGTAACTTCAATCTTTTTAACCAACATCATTAATTGTTTGTGACACCATATAACTATGAGCTCATTCTTGTAATAGCACTAAGACAAGACTTAATTCCAAATGAGTTACATTTGACTATATGAGCTTAATTAATTCAAATTAAAATAACACAATCTAAAATATTTAAAACAATTCAACTAATCCAACTCATATACAAAGCTTATTCACCCATTACCAATAAAACTCAAAAAGCCCAAATTATCCCAAATCATTTAAACTCAATTAAAATTACGAATTTAGGCTGTTCAAAAAGCTCATATTTAAACTTTTCACAATTGGTCAACCCATCATACACATGTTTTTGAGTGAAAATTTGGAGCAACTCTTTAAACTTCTTTACATTTGATTTTGTTACAGGTCCGTTGAAACTTTCCAAGTTTGAAATTTTATTTGCGTTCACGTCATTTGAAATTTGCTCCAAATCACCTTTTGATGCTCTTTGAGTATTTTGAATGTTTTTAACCTTATTTGCATTATGGACTCCATTATTTCAATGCGATTGCATGGGTGATCCATACTTCTTCCTTCATAATTTTACTACCTTGCCATTTTCTACCAAAACTTGTGTTAACTCAACTTATTTTGTAATTCTACTATACTAGACTTATAATATCAGCGGTTCAATATTGCAATATCTCTAAACTAGTAATTGTTGATAATAACACATTCTTTTCGATCTATCTTATTAGTCAGTTTTTTCTTATTTCAATTATAATCTAAGAAAAAATATTAGACAAACTTTTCTTATTATTCATGATAAAAGATATTTATATAAATGGAAAGCGTTGGTATAAGTATCTTCTATCAACGAAAATTTTATATTCTTAAATATTCTCTTTTTTTCATTGTTTAAAAAAAAGTTAAAAGCGTGCAAGAGATCAAAAATAATACTCCATTGATTTATTGATATTGAATAAAGCATATTTAACAAAAATATTTAATTTAAATATTAGATAAATAATATTCTACCGTTATCTATATAAGTATCTTCTTTGTTTCTTTACAAAATTGAATTTAAAATCTTATTTACTGGATAAAGCATAAGAAGCAGTAATAACATTGTAGGATAAATTTGCCATCAGCCGGTTCATAGCCTCAGTTGGGTGAAAAGAGTCCCAAAACACATACTCTTCTCTGTTTGAGCATGGAATTTGCCAAGGAATGCATTGTCCAATTTCTGACACTTCGCAACATCCTTTCGCAAATACCGTGAAACCTGATCAAATTCATAATAAAAAATCTTTTCAATTTGAATGTTATGATAGTTAATAACGGATAATTACTTCATATATTTATAAAACGAGTACTCATACCATCAATAGGCGGATCAGGATTGAGAAAAGAAAACTTAGCATCAACAAGATCTCTGTTAAGTTGATCTACGAGTAATTTAAGTCTCTTGTTGAAAAGCTCAGCTGCACTGTTCATTTCATCGACACAAAAAGATCCCTTGGTATCATGGGTAGCGAGCGAAAAAGGAATACAACCTATTTTTCCCAAAGCAAACACAGCCACCTTTCTTGCCCCATAGTTATATAATCTCTGCAATGAAAACCAATTAGACGTTAGGTAATTACTTCACTGACCCACATAGGATAGAATCGGAGGATAAACAAACGAGGTGATTCATTTTATTGAATTAGATATTTTTACAGAATGAAATTTCAATAGGACATTACATTACTTGTGCTCTAGAAAACTTTTATATGCATAAGTTTATAATGAATATAAGTACTCACCCTTAACTGTTGAGAGTATTGATCGACCAGGATGGTTGCATATTGGTCAGGGGTAAAGTGATAACTGGTGGAATAAAGCTTGGGCATGAAGTAGTTGTTGAGGTAGTCATTGTTTCCCATTCCCACTGAATATAAGCACTTGTTTAGATACATGGCTGGACTTAAATTTTGGTTCTTTAGAAGCTCAGTAATCCCATCCACTATGATTTTGTGGTTTTCTAGTTGCCTGTCCAAATCTATATTTGTACCCTACAAAAATAAATATATATAAATCAATAAATCGTAAGTTTCTCGAATAAGAGATTAGTGAGAATAAACCTTAACAATATGATTATAAAGAAATAAACCACATATATAATAACAATCAATATTTTATAAACGATGATTACTAATAAAAAACGATAAAAAAAAATAGTAAATAAATTATTAAAATAATAATAAATTATTATCAAAATACGATAATAAATCATAAAATTATTATTATAAATGATCACGTCGAATGAAATACCTATAGTTTCAAATAAAAAGAGATATCTTAAAATTAATACCAAATGTTTGCCGGTTTCTTCAAGAATTCCGGCTGAACCAGATGCATAGTTAACGCCCGTGAGAATATCTACCGAAGTGTTAAAAGTTGCTGCGAAAGCTGGAATATGGTGTTTGAAACCCAGAAGTTCAGCTGAAAAATCAATTAGGAAGAGATTAATTTTCATTTATCCTGCTCAACGATGATAAGTATATAATAAGGATCCAAATATTCTATTTTGTATTTTTTCTTCTTTCTTTCCAAGTAGAAATTCCAAAAAAAATAATGGCAGAAACCAGTTGCTCCATATGAGAAATATTGCTTAATAATTAGATTCCAAAATTTCAAATATCTGTTTAATTAAAATTTTCTCAAAAATTTAATTAATTTAATTAAAAATTAAAAATTCATTAATTATATGTACAGAGGAACAAGACATAACAGATATAAAACGAGTAAA